CTAAAAAGCCGAGTGAGTCTTTATTAGTATAGGAATATAGTATAGAAAATTTATATTTAGCATAAATGTAAAGTTCTAATACTTCTGATGTAAATAATAAAGGCATGATCGCTAAAAAAAAAAAAAATTTTATGTATTTGTAATTTTGATCACATGATATTTAGTTTCTGAGATTAAATTTTCAGATTACAATTCGAATCGTACAATAAATCAAATAATGCAAAAATGCTGCCGAATTTTGTAAACCTGGAGTTTTATTTATACTGTGTGAAAAACTACATAAAATTCAATTTTCTAAAACTTACATAACATTACATGTAATATAAAATTGTAATTTATATAACATAAGTTTATTATATCAAAATATTAAATTAACCAGATCAGACGAAAATCATTCAGCTAATTTTTTTTATAGGTGTTTCAGAAATTATGAAAACAGCTGTAAATACCACATTTGCTTGTAAATATTGATTATACCAAATCGATACTGCCCCTTGCCATTGTCATGAGCATGATGCCTCCAGCTTTACTTATTTGTGCTAGCAATACAAACACCTAAAAAGACAATAGCTAATCAGTAAGTTCAAATTTGATCACTCCAGATCAACCCAACATGAATTTCGAACATGTGCAAAAGAAGAAAAAAGCAGAAATACTTAAAATCTAGTGTTTAAATCGGCCTTGATACACTAATTAAAAATGAGGTAACGAAATTTCATATATAATGGGCGATAGTCTATAGATATAACTTCTAATCTTAACATTCTAACTCTAATTTTGTGTTTTTACACATTTTGTTTGTTTACAAAATCAAATTTTCTTTTTTGTATTGTATTACCAGCACAAATAAGTAAATCCCGATGTCCCCTGCTTAGCACTTTTTGATCTGGATAGGCATTTTACAAATTCTCTAGAATTTGAAGTTTCTATAAATTGGGTAGTTAAAATAAAATAGAAAATAATCAAGTTGGTCTTATCTGAATAGAGAATGGCAAATTCAGCAGATTGACCAAATTTTAGAGTCAAAATAGGCCAGAATTGATCAATTTCTTCCAAATCTCCAAAAATTCTACTAATGAAATAGTATCTTATTTTGGTTGCTCCACTAATCTATTCTTTTGATCTGTTGACTTTATGTCAACTCGAAGTAATTTACAAATTGATTAGTACAAAACGGCTTTAGTTGTATATAATTAATGTTACATTGATCATAACAGCTGTAATATTATGTAAATTTTTATAAAAGATGTAATAACTCTAATTTTACCTTATTAATAATATTTATATAATTAGAGTTTATTATATCTTTTATTAAATTTTATATAATATTAAAGTTTAATCTAATTAGTAATGTAATTGAAGTCACTAATTGGCATTTAGATGTATACTTTGATTTTTACATTGATGTGTACATTAATGTGTTTAATGATGTGTATTTTGTTGTGCATATTGTTGTAAACGTTAACATCAACATTAATGTTAATGTGTTAATATTAACATTAATGTTAATGTTAATGTTAACATTAACGTTAATGTTAATATTAATGTTAACATTAATATTAACATTATATTAATATTAAATTAACATTAATGTTAATGTTAATATTAAATTAACATTAATGTTAATGTGTTAATATTAACGTTAATGTTAACATTAATGTTAACATTAAATTAATGTTAACATTAATGTTAACATTAACGTTAATATTAATATTAAATTAACATTAATGTTAATTTTAATATTAACATTAATATAATGTTAATGTTAATATTAATGTTAATATTAATTTAATGTTAACATTAATGTTAATGTTATTGTCATCAAGGGTGAGTAGGTGGGCAGGTTTAATAATAATTTTTGACAATTTTTGACTAGTATTTAGGGTGGATGGGTGGGTTAACTGTTTTTTACAATAATAACATAACATTAAATTATTATGTATATGGAAACCTGCTTCGCAGGTTCTCATATAGCATTTTAGAACAATGTGAACCTGCTTCGCAGGTTCACATTGCATGACGAAAAATTGCCCTTTAGTATTGGATTGATAAAGTTATCAGTTATGTTAATGATAGCTCTATCGTTAATCATATAGAGCTATCGGCTTGCCAATATGCATTAATGCCGATATAATCCTGATAGTTATCCGATATTAGCCAAAGTTCTGGTCTATAACAGGTTCATATCAGCATCAACAAAATACCGATATAGACCCGATATAGATATGATATTTTTTATTTCAACCTGTGATACCTTCATCATCATCTAGGTCATCCCCTTCACCATTATCAAAGTAATTTTCTACAAAATCAGTTGTATCTGCTAGTTCATCCTCTTCTTGAAGAAACTGATCCATGTCCGCATATCTTTCAAATTCATTCTCTACAACAGTCTAAGAACCAAATTATCAATATTTTCATTAATATCATTAATAAAACCATTAATAAAACATACAGTGGTAAATACAACAGAAAAAGAAACCAACATCTTGTTTTTTGTCTGTTCTTTGTCTTCTTATACTAAAAGGTTGCCAAATGTTTGATCCAGATCAAAAGTAGCCCTTTTTTGGCTGCCTAAATATTAAATAAGTTTTTAGTACAATTTCATTAAGCGTGCATGCAAGCACATCAATTTTAGTAACTTAAAAAACCTATGTTTGTTGAAATTGTTGATGCTAGCGATTCATCTTTAACACAATGAAGTTCTTCTGGAAAGAAAGCTATGTCTAATTATAATAAAAGTTTGTTAATAAATGTGATGATGATCAGTTTATGCAGGAATCATATCAGATTAACCTGTTTTAATGTCTCGCCGAGAATGTGGTGTTTTTTTTCTTTTTGAATTGATCTGAATATCTTTGTATTTCTGAGAGTTCATAATATTTACACCAATTCATTACTCTTATTTTAGCATAAGACGATAATGATGTTAGGTGGCCAAAGACAACATTGTACCAGTAGGTGGTGGTGGCGCAGATATATAGAAAGCAGAGTCTTTGAGAGCCGCTTTGTAGCCAATTAACGCATAAAAAGTCAACTGTTCGTTATCAGTCGGCCCTACCGGATCTTCAAATTCAAGTCCCTATAACATTATTTTAACAAAAATTTATTAGTTCACGTAAGTTTATAAGCATCTAAAAAGAATAAAAAAAAAAATACTTTCGTCAGCGAGATTCTTTTGCAAAGCTGCTCGTAATTCATTTTGAAGCTGCGTCCGAGATCTGGGGGGCCATTTCTTGTACCGAAGCCACGACGTCTGATACCTCTACCACCTCTACTTCCTCTACCAGACATTTATTACGCGAAATTTGGAATTATGATACGCGATAGGGTTAGGATTCAATGTGTAGTAGCATAAGTCAAATTCATTTTGATTGGTTTATTTCTATTGTAAAACGCTGTTACACAATTTTTTATGCACATCAAATTTACAAATCTTATACTAGTGCTAGACTAAGTCAAATCAATCATTTAAAGTATTATTCACGACGACTATTAGATCCTTCACCGATTTCATCATCATAAACAACTCGTGGATATTCATCGTATGTGTATGAACTAGATGCACGATTTTTACCTTTTGAATTTACCGACTTTGATTTTTGCTGGATGCTTAAATCATCGTCGTCATCTGCATCTGAATAGTGATTTCTGTCAGTAACGTCAAGATTATCTACCCAATCAAAATAGACATCTATTTTATCGCTAAAATCTAATAATTAAAAATGAGTTATCGTTATCAAAGAATTGAAAAAAAATTTCAAGTTAGGTTTAAAGAAAATAGTCACCATAGATATCTGATTCAAATCTTGCTTCGCAGTGGTTGCATTTTAAATATCCAGCACCCCTACCTTCAATTATCTGCCTAAATAAAATAAAATCTGAATTAATTTATTGTAAGCAACATCTAACACATCAACTTTTGTATAAAACTATATTTACATTTTGACTTCAACGCATTTCTCTTCATAACAAAGAATACAATCAAAAATATTATCAAGTTTTTGGCGTTTATGTTTCACAAACCGTTTTCGTATTTTTTTTGATCTCCTTCCCATTTTTTTT